TGACAACAGAATTATGTCAATCTGTTAAATTAAAATGTTCTTCTCCTTGCAGCAGTTGCTGATTCGTTTAAACTTTAAAATATCAACGTGAAAGGTCCTTTGAGTTTCCAAAATATGTTATCATAAAATGCGAATTTTTTCTGATTATAAATATAAAAATCATAGTTTCAGGCTTTAAAATGTTGGCTTCACGCTAGGAATTCTAAGTAGTTTAAAGCTGCTTAAAAAAAGGAAACAACAATAAAATATTACTGCTTATTAACTAAGTTTAACTAAAATGAGTATAAAATAAAGCAAAGGAAGTTGATATTTCATTTTAGCTCTATTAACATTTACAATATTAAAACGCAGAAAATAATAAGGATTCAAACAATATAATTGAAAAATTGTCAAAGCTAGAAAAAATAATTTTCATCATGAGTACAGTATTTTTGCAGTAATAATTACCGTAAAATCACTCTTGAATAAATATTGCTGTAAGAATTAAGTTATAATATTTTACGGCAAAAATGGATTTTACGGATGATGCACCCAAAGTAATTACCGTAATTTGATCCGGAATTTTTTGCAGTGTGGAAAATATGTCCATGAAGCAGATGGGCAGAAAAATAACTTTATTTTTTACTACAAAATAGTTATGTGGAAAAATATTTACAATTTGAAAAAAGTAATAGGGAGAAAAAATAATGTGTTGTGTACACATAAAATATAAAGCGTGATTATTTTCATTATTATTATTTTTTAAATATAATCGGTGATCAGTTAGTAAGTAATAAGTAAGTTGCTTAAACATAATAAAAATGTATTTTATTTTAAATCTAAAATATTAAGTATTATTATTTCCTTTTGTGAATGTAAATATAATTTTTCTAAACACGTTGAAAATATTCGAAATCTATTATTCAATATGATAAGTTAAAATTTGTTCAAAACTCTTTGACAAAATATATTTCAGAGAGCAAACTAAACGGACAATTGTTTTGTTTAACTTAAAATGTAAGTTTAATAAATCTAAATAAAAAAAACACATTTTAATTGAAAAATCTTTTTTTTTAATTGAGCGATGCGAAATTGATATTTTCCCAAAATCTCATTTCTTATCAAATTCAGACAACCGAGCAGACTGTTTTCTTTCAATTATCAGACTGAACTGTTTATTCTTTTGTTAATTTACCTGCAGTTCACAATGGAAAGAATAATAAATGTATTTTATATGGAAACGATCTTCCTAAATTCATTTGCTAAAGAAACTCTTTGAAGATTGTTTCTGGAACCTACATTGTATCTTTGTAATGAATTAATTAATATTAATATTAAAAGAGACTTTTTAATTTGTCATTCTCAGATACCGTCTAAATTATATTTCAATCTAAATGACAAATTCAAAGCTCCTTTGTGAAAATGAGTTTTCAATTCTCATTTTCAAAATAAATTGATATTTACTTCAACAAAATAAATTTATATTGACATGAAATATTTTTCTAAAAGAATTGTGATTAGAAAATTTCATATCATAATGCAAAAAAAATTTTTTCTTTGAAATATTAAATGCTAAAAACGGAGAACTTCATAAAAGGAAATTGAGATACAATGTTGATAATTATTCACAATGCTATTGGAAGTCTTTAATTATTTTAAAAATGATAAATATATTTTAACTTTACATGATATTCAAGAAATTATTATGTTTGCGAAATATATTTACTTTGTATCAACTCGAAATAACATTTAAAATGTATTCTAAATTTAAATTAAATTCTATTTCCTTATTTAAATAAAAGTGGGAATTATATGTTGAAAGTATTAAGTATTTTACAACTCTGAGAACTGAAATGAAAACAAAAAAAATCTGCTTAAAATACTTTAATTTTAACGACATCTTTGAACGAGAATATTGTTTTTTAAAGCATTCGAAGTCCTAATGAGTGAAAAAACGATTTTCGAACATTTTCAAATTTAATCACTATAACCCAATTTATTTTTACCAACAGTATTGTTTTTTACCTTATAGAAAACTTCATACTCTTCAAAAATATGCATAATTGAAATAACAGTCGACATGTTTCAAGCGCATCAGAAACAGGCACCCATTTTCAAGACGTGAAAGTAACAAATCAAAATTGATTTAAAAAATACGCGAAGTTGCCAACGAAAAATGGTAAAATAAATGTAACAAACAAGAACTAGAAAAACCACAAAAGTCGAGAGATAAAAAATTGAATCATTTTTGTCTTGTTATATTCACGTCTGTCAAGTCTGGAAAACAGGCGCCCATTTTCAATGTGTTTGAAACCTGTCGATTGTCATTTCAATTTTATATATTTCTGAATTTTAATTTTTGTATGTTTTATGTGGTAGTATTTCGTGGGTAATGCTGATCGCCTCCGCGTTTCACGTTTACAGGTGCCCACTAGGTAATGTAATGTAGAATTTTCGGCATCTTGAGGCGAAGAACAAGTATCAATACCTGCAGTTAAAAAATTTATATATTTTTAAACGGAATAGACTGTAAAAATGAAACTGACGTGTACTATAGATTTTACAAGTTATATGATTGAAATAATTAACCAAACTTTCCAGTTCGCTAACATTGACAAAAAAATTTTTTATGGCGTCTTCTGAAAACAAACAGTTTATAGAAATAATATAACTATCATACATTTATTTGTTTAAATCGAAAATTTTTGAGACTAAAGAAAGTTTATTTTGAGAAATATTTTAATATTTTATTGGTATTTCATTTAGAATTTTAGAATTAATATAATTAAAACAAACATTTCACAATTAGAACATACATTTTTTTCTCAATTTTATTTGATATATTTCAAACTGCTTAAAAATTGAACATTATAATTTAATATTAATTCATAATTTCGTTTGAAGTTTACATATTTATTATAAGTTCTTATATTTATTAACTCAACTTTTCCCTCAAATGGATTTAATATCAAAATAAATGACATCTTGAAATTTTGTTAAATTTAAAAACTATTTAATGAGTGTACAAAAAATTACACCTGAAGGAATAAAATGAATTTTTTAAGTTTTTGCAAAAATTTGGAAGCTTTTACGCTGATGAAAATAATTTTTAAAGCTTAGTACGATCGTAATCATTATAAATGTATGAGAACCTTATTTATTTACTATGCAATGTTTATCTAGGTTTAAATTAAAGCAACCTACTTCAACCTTAAGTAGAACTTTCAAAACTTTGATTTTATTTTGAATTTCTTTAAAATTTTAATCCTAACTTATTTCTATTACTCTTTCATTTTTCTAGTTTGTTTTTATAAAATTTCTTGTGCATTAGCAACTTTTTAAGATTGATAAACTGCAATTCATTTTTTTAAATAAGTGCATGCATTTAAGATGGATTTATTCGTCATAGCAAACTATTTTGCAATCATACATACACTCAGCATAACAGATAAAATTATACTAAGTTTATTGCAGACTTTTATTTTGTTTTTCAAAAACGTTGTTCAGTCATTTAATTTCTAGTCAGTAATACTTAGTCATTTACAATCTTTTTTCTTCTTTTTTTGGAAATATGGAAAGATGCCTGTTTAAATTACAATTGAATTTTATGGACAAAGTTTTGAGTTAAGCCTTTTTTCGTAAAATCAAAAGGAAAGAAGCATATTTAACCATATCATACTGTTGATGTCGAAAGTCCAATCCTTTCTCAGATGATCAAAATTGAGATGGCATGTCGTTGGATCATCTTCAGGAATGTTTCCCAGACTGGCGCTAATAGCCCATTGTCTAGCTCTAGTGCGAAGCAAATAAAGTACTACTACTGCTATGTTGAAAGCTATAATTTTTTAAACAACCCCGCTAGTCAATCATTCAGTAGATCATGAATACGTAAACTCTTGAAAATGTCTATAACTTTTTCAAAAAGTAAAAAAAAAAACAATAATATAAGTGTTAAAACAAAAAATAACAGGTACGATTAACTATAATGTATGGTTAAGGAGTCGATGTTGAAATCGATGTGAATTAAATTAACGTAAATAAGGAAAAAGTAATTAATTTCCTTTTCTATGTTGAAAAAAAAAAGAGTAAAGACTGAAAAGTTTCAAGTTATCCTCACTAAAATTTTCTTTTTATAATGATATTGCAAACAAGTTACCTATTTCCATTTTAATGGACATCAAGGCATGAAAACTCCCAAACTTTTCCACAAAATATATTTCCCCGAATGCACAATTAAAACACACAAGCGTATGTAACTTTTATTAATCAGCTGACATTAGCAACATCATATCTACATCAACACTTTCCTTTTAAGCATAAATCGGAAGTATTATTAACAAGTAGTATTATTAGTAGTATTTGAAGTATTATTAGTATTAAGCACAAACAAGCATTAACGGAGTTGTTTCGAATTACTCATTGGTTGTTTTGCGCGAATAAACATTAATGGAGTGATTGTAAAACATTATTATTAAACAAAGAAGTGCTATTATTTTGTACGCCTTTCTTTTTTTCTTCCTTTAGGACCGATTATAAGTCCTACCCCATATTTTGGCAATTTTTTATAAACTTTTTAGAAGGAATTAATTCGAAATTTTACTATTTTTCTATGAAATATTTACATGCCTGGCTGGGAAAGATTTTTCAATCCATCGGTTCTTAACGACCCACTCTTTTGTTTGGCATTTTCTTTAAAAAAAAAATAGATTCTTGTCTTTTTTTAGTTACAAATAACAAATATTTAAAAGAAATTAAAGCCTTGCATTAAAATGGCGACCAACTATAGCCAAGAGGAAAATCTTGAAAAAAGAGCGAATCGTTAAATGCCGTTGAATTGTAAAATTAGCTAATGGGGCATTTAAGGGTAAAAAATACAATTCACTATCATAGTTTTGTAAATTAATAGAATTTTCGGAATAGAATTTCCAAGCTTTTCCAGGCATTTAAAAACAAATGTTATAATGTTACCCTTTTTCGATTTTGAAATTAAGCTAAAAACTCATGTGATGAGAAGCACAAACCTGTATTCTTCCTGTTCTTTTTCTGAGGTCGGAGCGACTGAGCTAACGGAAGCCAAATTACCCATCAAACTGAGGTGTTGAATATTCGGACATGCTCTGGCTAGAGGAGGGATGAAGAGCTGGATGTCAGAGATGAGATTATAATTTAACGAGAGAACCTTTAAGTTGAGCAGCTTGGGAAAAAGTGTCGTGGATACGATGAGATTGTGATCCAGTATCAAAGTCTGTAACTGAGTCATTGATCTCAATCTTCTTACATCCCTGGAAAAGGAATTAAATTTGAAACAAATGTTATTTCTGAAGTTGCTAACTTTATGAGATTTAAGCCAAAAATTTAAATGGATGCTAACTATAAATTTAATTTTTTTAAAAAATGAATTCATACAAACTTTAGTTTGTTTGTATGCTTTTCCGAAGATCCGTGCATGGAATTGAAAGCCTTGATGCAAGAAACAAAGCCATCAGACCCAGTGGCGTATTTATGGTAAGTGGGGCAATTTGCCATTGACGCATTAGTCGTAAAAGGGCGGCAAATTGTCTAATTTTTTAAAAATGTTATTGTACTTTTACATAATTATTATTTATTACTATTATGAAATTTTAAATATTTTGCTTCTATTTAGTTTTAGCCGTTGAGTAATATTACCTAACAAAAAATAAAATTGACCATCAAGCAAATCCTTAAAGTTGTCCATTTACCTCACACTAGAGCTGCACAATGGGCCATTGGAAACGGTCTGGGAAAGACCCCTGAGGATGATCCAAAGATATGCCGTCACAATTTTGCTCCTCTGCAGATGGGATGGCTCCCCCGCTTCGGTAGCCCGGCTACCAGTTCACGAAGTCGAGCACTTTACGGTGGAGCAGTTTAACAAGGACCAATACCGCACACTCTCTGGTCTTACGCATTCCGATCCAAGTGGTCACCCACCCGCACACTGACCGCAGTTAGTGATGCTAAACTTCAGTGATCTGCTGGGAACATGGTCTTAATGGTCAGTTCACTGCGGGACATTCTCAAATGCTTTCCTCCAGACAAACCTCTATCTTCTTCTCAAACGCCCTATGCTAAAAGTCAAGCTCAAACATTTTTCTTTTAGTTTGGGTTACGCATTTTGTGTGTTGTTATTTCCTGTAACAAAAGGGATTTTTTATTAAAAGTAACCGTGGAATTGGGAGGGAGCGTGAAAGTCCCTTAATGGCTGGAGAAGATAGCATTTTATCTAGGATATGGTAAGTGGGGCATGCTGTGTGTCCAAGTGGCACATTTATTGAGACACCTGATAAATCCACATTTAAGCAGTGCATTCACATGCTGGAGAGGAATGATATTAGATATGCAATCAATGTTCGAACTAATCGAAGCAACTATAATATTGTGTCTAGTCAAGAATGTATTACAAAAATTGGAATAACCTGTTTCTTGCTCCAAGGACCTAAACTATGCTCATAAGTTTTTTTTTCCCCAAAGGAATTAACGTATATGATGTTGTGTGTCCAAATGTCATTGAGTAAGGCACCAGGTAAGTCCCCAATTAAGCTTTGAATTTAGCACGCTGGAGAATGCTAGATTTGGGCTCAAGTCTTTAATCAATTGAAACAACTATAATATTGTTTCTAGTCAAGAATGCATTAAAAAATTGAAATTGTCTGTTTCTTGCTCCAAGGACCTTACTTATACACAATTTTTTCCCCCACCAAATTAAATAAATTATGTAATGCTCCGTGTTCAAATGATATTGAGTGCGACAAATCCTCAATTAAGTTCTGAATTTATTCTACTGGAGATGAGAGATATTAAATATATTGTTTAATTTTCGAATATTATTACCGGTAGTCAAAAATGCAATAAAAAATTGTCTCTTACTTTTTTCGCGTCACTGATTTTTTTGAATAATTTTGGATAGTAGTATGAAAAAATTAAAAGCATAATGCTTCGTATAAACTGTGTTATTTATTTTTCGAATTATACCAGATTTCTCTTTTTACTTATTAAATTAAATTAAATTAAATTAAATTAATCAATGAATAAAAAAATCTCAAAAACTGAAGTCGTAAGATACTATCTGATTAAAAGCAAATGATGTTTTTAATCAGGTAATACATCCATGGTTTATTTCTTTCTTTCTTTTCGTTTGTTTTGTTTCAATTTTCCAACAAATTGATAGAAAAATAATTTATAAAAAACTATTTAAAGAAACTCCAAAAAGATATTAAGAGACAAACGGAATGTTCAATTAAAGCTTAGAAGAAATTGTTGTTATAATCCTCTTTCTCGCAGATTTGTTAATTATTAACTTTTAATTACTCTTATATCAATTAAATAAATATTTATTTGACAGACCTTTTGAAATTATTATTTTGTTCCTAAAGCTACATCTTTTTGAAAGGACAATTTTAGTCCATTTTTCGTCGAAATGTACCTGTTTAAAAACTTTTTATATTAAAGGATGAGGGCGCTTAAATGTTACAACAAACTTTTAGGGGAGTTAGAGCACATCATTAAGATTAAAATTGTATAGGAACCCATGCCCGGATATGTCGTCCTTCACCTCTAGGAGTGCTACCCTGTTATGAACTGTTTCTTCATGCGCATTTAAACAGGCTACAATAGGGAAGCGTCCCTAGGAGCGTACGATGGCGTTTCCGGGTATGCAATTTCAATCCTGGTGATATGCCCTTACTCCCTTAGAAGTTTGTCGTAACATTTACGAGTATAACGTTTTTAACTTTCGCCTTACAACGCTTCTAAACTCGTACGTTTCGTCAAAAAATAGACCAAAAATCCTATTTCAAGAAAAAAAAAAAACTGAAGTTTAGGGGGGAAAAAAATTTCCGATTTGAATCGGTCTTCCACCATGATTTTCACAACGAATCTTTAATCTAAAAACGTGTATACTCGTTATGAATCCTAATGGAGGATTGAGAATTGTAACTTAGAAAAAAAAAGTTCCAAAATATTCATAGAATCAATAATCTTTCTTAAATATTCACCTTAAAATTCTAAAATTATTTAAATACACAAGGAATGAAATAAGTCAGGCTTCTGTTCTAGATTAATTTGGATATTTCAGTTCATTTTTTCCCCTAACATAGCAACAAAAACTCATTAAATATATTTATTTCCATTGCATATTTTTTGTATCTTTAATAAGCTTTTTCTCTCAAAATGTGATAAACGCTCTTAGAATTAAGGTTTCATTTCGAAATTCTTTGTGGAAGTCGTCTAAATTTAAAAATCAAACAGTTTTAATAAATTCTGCAGTATTTAAATTCTGATAAATTATTCTGATAAATTCAATAAAATAAATTCACATCAAAATAGACAAAGTTATATATTTTTTAAAATAATTTATAAAAATTATATTCTGATTCAAAATTACACTGGGGGGGGGGGCGATATAAACTTCTAGCCAACAAAAGAGTTTATAGAAGCCTTAACTATATTTTGCAAACAAATGCACGCGTAAAACTGTATTATTACAACTGAAAATTTATTCTAGTAGTAAATGCAATTTACGTATTTTGCTTTACTGGATTGCAGATATTCTATTTAACAAAGCAATTAAAAAAATGCAGAATGTAAACAAAAAAATGCAAAAACAATATTAGAGCTTTTTGAGTAATTAAAACAAAAATAAAATCATAATTGAGTTGCCTAATTAAATTGATATCACATTCTTGTGCCTTTTTTGCATCAAAATTCCAAAAGACCTTTCAAATAAGTATTAATTTAATTAATATAAGTGTTATTAAAAGTTAATTAATACAGGCACAAGAGGGATGATTATTCCAACAATTCAACCAAATTTAATTAAGCATATTTAATTATTCTGTTTAGATCTTACCTTTTTGGAGCTTTTTAAAAATAAGTTTTAATAATTCATTTTTCTAACATTTTGTTGGAAAATCAAAACAAAAAATAAACTCCAAATGTATTATTTTAATTTCAACACTAAAGGAAGAGAAATTTGGTAAATTTTGTAAAATAAATAATTTAGGTTTATACAAAGTTTTATGTTTTGAACATTTATTTTTAACTACGATCCAAAATTATTCATTAGATCAGTTACGCGAAAAATGTATTTATTTTAAAATGAAGCGAAAATAATTTTAAAAAATAAATCACACTTCGGAGTATAGAGTTCGTAAATTATTTATAACTTCAAACTGAAATCTCCCATAAGATTAGTTCCGTAACCAAAATTTTTTTTTAAAATTGAAAAGTATATTTTTAAAATGTAATGAATGTAAATGTAATAATTGATGTAATTAACGTATTTAAATGCAAGTCACCTAACTTAAAATAGAGCAGCACGTTTTCAACTTTTTTTTAAAACTAGTTACGCAACCAAAAAGTTTATTTTAAAAGTAGAAAAAAAAACTTATTAAGTTTTCATGTAATAAAATAAAATTATGACGAATTGGAAATGTGTAAAAAAGTAGCATAAATTAGTAAAGTAGGAAAATTCGAGCCACTCTTTATTGATTTTCTAATAAAATACAGAGAAATACAAAATATATGCTAATTAATCAATTAAATATTTTAAATGCATAATCAGTTTTTCTGTATGATAAAAGCAACGAATCTTTGGAGAAGTAATGCCAGTCAGTTAAATCCGATTAAATTGCTTTTGATGCATCGAATCCTACCTTCAACGCGATTGACTTCGATGATAATTCGTCCGATGTTAAAATATGCCATCTCAAATATTAATTTGTGGAAATAATAACGTTTATAAATTAAACTTCATTTTTATCGAACATTCTGAAATATACGTATTAAGTGTGGTGGTTAAAAAACATCGTATAACTACTTAGAATTATCCCTATTTTTTTAGTTTAATGATGAAAGTACAAACAAATTCTTCGTTCACATTTTTTATACGAAATGTTTGAAAATTACATTTCAAATCACGCACAACTAAGTATTTCTCAAGAATAAATTATCTTAAAAAACATTTAATGCTTTATTTCATTAAACAAATATTTTAAAGAGCAAAATTAAATATATATTCAAGAAAATAAACGTTAAAAATTACTCCTAAAATAAGTCCTTTACAGAATCGCTTTATTTTTTATGTTTACTTTGAGAGCTATTTTTTTTACTATTTTTCAATTTAAAACAAGATTCATAATAGATACGGTTACAAATTATTCCACAGAAATTGTTTTGAAAATAAATTTTCACCATTGTTTGACATCCATTGTTTTGAAAACCAATTTTCACATGATTGAATATAACTCTATTTTTTCTACAT